GACTTACTGACTGACAGACAACGCACAGTCTAAACCACTGGTCGTAGAAACTAGAAATTTGGAGGGAATATCCCCTTAATACGGAGAGGTGTGCTAAAAATGGATTTTTGGAAATTCCATCCCGAAGGGGGTCAAAAAGGGTGAAGAAGTTTGTATGAAACTTCTTTGTTTATGGACCTATGTCGATGAAAATTTGTATTTGGATAGTTTATAACTCCAACAAGGTAATAGGTTATATTTTATACCGAAAACTAGTACTCAAAGGAATAAAAATGGGAGTGAAAGTCTCTATGGGGAACCAAAATGTTGCCATAGCAACCATTGTTTACCACTGATTTGTCATTGAAATAAATTAACCTAATATTATTTACAAAATATTTTATTGTATAGCGATGAAAATTGGTATTTGAGTATACATTAAATTTTTTGGATAATGGATAAAAATATTCGAATTCAAGTAATTTTGTTTACGAAAGAAAAATTATTTTAACTACACTAGATGGCGTTAAATGAATAATAAATCTACCTAATATTAAATACTAAATGATTTTTTGCATAGAAAATTAAACTAGAATAACTTTTCAGTCAGCTGATAACGAGCATATTCTAAATCGCGCTATTATTTTGAGCAAAGAACTTTACGCATGCTTAAAATCATAAACATTCAAATGTTCCAAGTTTAGATTAAAGAAATTGCAATTATTAGTGTTTTTCATTTCATCAATAATTAATTTATTGAGGATAAGTATTGCAAGGCCTTAATCTAAGATTTTCAAGTTGATAATTTTCACAAATCCTATTTTATTAAATTTGTTCGTTCATATTATGTTAGTAGAATTGATAAATTCAATCCATCAATTCAAAATGCGGCTAGCTAGATTTCGATGGCGTAGTTTTCGACTTTCACAAGTGCTCTGTAAAAGCCTAAACTGAATAAATAAATTTTGATTTGATTTTGATTTGATTTGATTTGATTCTAAAGAAAATTGTTCCGATATGGGGATTCACGCATGCAGGGAGTTTAAATAGCTATGATAGCCAGGCCTCGTTCCTCGGGGCAGGGGCTAGGTCTTATTATAAAATTTATCGTAATCCTCCCGAAATTCTTATACGTCTATTTGACCTGTGATAACGATGGCGACCTTGACGTTTTTTTAAAAATATTTCATGAACGATATTGCTCATTTAATGTTAATTGGAATAAGGATGATGCCAGGGTAAAAAAAGTAATTCTATTTAGTCTGCTAATCAGATAAATAATTGGTTGGGGAAAACCTTCTTCGCATTTTATATGAAAATTCAAATAATGTTTTAATAAGGTTTATTTACAATTGACTAAAGTATGTAGGTCCCATTTAGTTCGATAGCTTTTTGCCATCTTGTAGGTAGGGACATGATCCCATTGCTATAGAAGTTTTGGGCATTTTGATCAAAAACTGCGACGTGTGGTTAAGGCAGTCCTCACGTGATTTTAAACTGACACTGCCTAAAGAATACTGAAGAGACCGAAACAGGTGGAAGTCTGAAGGTGCAAAGTCAGGACTATACGTCGGATGTATTAACACCTCCCAAACAAACTATCTTAATTTTTGCTGAGTGGCAAAAGATGTGTGAGGTCTAGCGTTATCATGACGAAAAACAACCCCCTTCTATTTATTAATTCTGATAGCTTTTTCTTAATTTCTTGCTTCAATCTCGTCACTCGTACGCAATAGAATTTAGAAACGATGGTCCTGTCTAGCGATACCAGCTCATAATGAATAGTGCCCTTCCAATCCCACCATACTCACAGCATCACCTTGTTATGAGTTAACCCGGGTTTCACCACAGTCTACGAAGCCTGACCGACATTTGATCTTGACTTTTTTCGCACATTCTCGTCGTACATGATCCACTTCTCATGACCAGTTATCAGTTTCTTCTTCTTTAAAAATGGTTCGGTTTCATGACGTCTTAATTAATAATCACAAATGAGTACATGGTTCATTAGGTTACTATCACTGATCTCATGAGGTATACAAATATCCAGCTTATTTGTGTACCCAGTTTTTTTTGAATGCGCCATAACTATTTTGTTGTCAATACCCAGTGCTTCAGGTACGTCGTAGCCAAGGATATGCCGACCTTGTTCCACTTTTTAAATCGCATTCATTTATCCGTAACAGGCCCAGGTCCGGAACGACGTACATCAAAATATCCGGACTGAAATCGCTTTAACCAAATTTATGCTACTCTTACAGAAATTGCACTAAGTCCATAAATGTCACAATTTTTTTTCGAGCCTTGCCGGTGCATTGTTACCATTTTGTTATAAAATTTTAAATGTATCGAATTTCTTCATTAAATTTACTTATTTTTGACAATACGAAAAACGAATGAAAATCTCATATTTTCCTAATTGGTATGTTCTTCAATATTTACTTTTTTAATGATACTGAAACCAGCCAGACACAAATGGTATAGTCAGAAAGATTTTATTACAAGTTTCTGCATACTATATGCGAAAAGGTATTCCCAACGTTTACCACATTTTATATGAAATAAAGTTATTATTTTATGTTTATAAGGATGGATTGAGAAACTTTCCTATTTCCTTTTCGATTTGAAGATGGTTAAAAAATAAAGGTATGACGTTGGGTAATTCACCGTGGCGCAGAAAATATGTATAATACTATAAAATTTTATTATTAGGAATCGTTTAATTACCTATAGCATATATTCAAGGAATGTTATATTGAATTATTTTAATCTAAACATTACGTAGCAAGGTAAATACGCTATTTAAGAATCTGTAAATGGCAATTAACAAATAATACATATTCCAGTTGTTTTTTTTTTTAATAATACGTTATATATTTAGGTGATATTTGATGAAAAGTATATTTTGTTTTGATATTAGGTTAGGTCTTTTCGCATATAGTACCTAAGCATGTAACAAAATCTTTCAAACTCCATATTAAAATCTTTCCATTTTTCCATTTATCTTTATCTGGCTGGTTTCGGTATCATTGGAAAGTTTAAATTTTAAAGAAGATAACTCTGAATTCAAATAAGGAAAAAAAAATTATTGTCAAAATGAGTGAATCTAATGAAGAAATTCGATGTATTTTAAGATCTTATTATAAAAAAAGGTAAAAATGCAACGCAAGCCGCGAAAAAAATTTTCTTAGTTTATGGACCTAGTTATTTTTCTGTGAGAGTAACACAAATTTGGTTTAAGCGTTTTCAGTCCGGCAATTTTGATGTCAAAGTTGCACGTCGCTTCGTTCGCCCTGTAACGGATAAAAGGGATGCCATTTTTGAAAACGTGGAGCAAGACCGGCATATTCGTAGTTTCGACGTAGCTGATTTTCTATTACTTAGTTTGATATTTGGGTACATCACGAGCTCACTGAAAGAAACGTAATGAGCCGTGTACTCATCTGTGATTCTTTATTACGACGTAACAAAACCGAACCAATTTTGAAGAAGCTGATAAATGGTGATGAAAACCAGATCACGTGCGACAAGAACGTGCGAAAAAGGTCGTGATTAAAGGTTGGTAAGGCGTCAAAAACTGTGGGGAAACCCGGGTTAACTCGCAACAAGATGATAATGTGTATATGTTGGGATTGGAAGGGCATTATTCATTATGAGCTGTTATCGCCAAGCAGGACCATCGATTCAGGCTCTGCTGCAAACAAGTGATGAGATTAAAACAAGAAGTTGAGAGAAAGCGGCCAGAATCAATGGATGTGGTTTTTCATCACGATAATGCATCTTTTGTCACTCAGCAAAAATTAAGAGAGTTTAGCTGGGAGGTGTTAATGCCTACGCCCTGATATAGTCCTGACTTTGTTCTTTCAGATTTCCATCTGTTTCGGTCTCTTTAGAATTCTTTAGGCAGTGTCAGGTTAACAACACGCAAGGACTGTGAAAACCACTTGTCGCGGTTTTTTGAACAAGAGGCTCAAAATATCTATAGAAAAATACATACCTTAATTAAATGTAAACAAACCTCATTAAAATGTTTTGAATTTTCATATAAAATACTTTTTCCCAACCTATAATAAAAATAAAAGCACTGATTAGGTTTCGATAAAATTTGAATGGGACTACCTCAGCCCATTAAGCTATTGAATAAAAAAATAACCATGAAAATTGCACAATAATTCCTGAAATAACCGATGAACAAACAAAATAAAATCGCCGAAAACCTTATAAAGTCCATTTTTTCGATTTTGCAGTCGGTTAAAAATATTAAGATAACTTTTAAACCATAAACATATTTTATTAAGCATTATTACTAATTCATTGACGAGCTTGATAGTGCATTGTTAGCATGTCCGGTCTGCGATATGGTTGCTAAGCAACTTTTACAAGGACTGGTCATAGGATGGCAAGCCGTTGGTTCCATCTGCATCTGCTGTCGTTAACACTCACCAATCCATAAAGGGCCCGCGTGGTTGGTTATGGCTCCACCACTCTATTTATGTTTTCCATCCGAGAATGCCTGTGCTCCAGCAGTGTCATTAATATGTCGGTCTATATCTATATTGGTGATGATGAAATCTTATAAAGGAAAATGCCTATTTAATGGAGACATAATGACCCACTTGTAAAGATTTTGTGCCTTGAAAACTCTATTTGCATATAATAGTTAAAATATTTTGTAATTTAAACTTTAAATAATTTTAATATTGTACGTAGTATACATTTTTCTCTTTAAATACTCCTAATATACTTATATATAACATATGGTTCTGAATTAAATTTATAAGTATAAAAGAACTACAACTTTTTCTGATGTAGATCGTGATAATAATAGTAACTAATAAATATAAAACAATTAAATTAGTTACAAAAACATTGAAAATTTGTACTACTACCTTTGAAAAGGTTGCAGATTATGAGGGACTTTAATAGGTGCACTTACCTTACCAAAATTTTGTACAATTCATAAACGACTATCGTAAGTTTTTGATTAGATTATATAGATTGCACATATATACTTTGCGTTCAGTAACGTGTTTAGTACAATTACGAACAGCCATGCGTGTGCTAATTTCTCTAGTAGTGGTTTTTTCTGTCGCTACAGGTGAGAATCATCTCAGTCAATATTCTTTTTTGTAAAGACCTCCTGACAATAACAAACACAACAATAAAAATTGTGTAATCGGTCCAGCTATTCACGTGTAAAGGCTATAAATATATTAGCTAACCCGGCAAACGTTGTTTCGATATATAAATTTCGGTTGGACCACCCTTATAACTTAAGGGCATAAAAAATTTATAACAAACTATTCTTAGAATATACGTATAAAATTTCATCAAAATTGGTCAAGCCGATAATTAAATTAGATTATATATTAGATTATAATGAAATGTTTTGTATTCATACTTTTGATATGTTTTGTTATTATTAGGATTGGGTTTGAATAAAAGATTATTTAGTAATATATGTTATATGCTTTTGTATGTCCTCGTTATAATTACGTATAATGTGCCTAAGCTTTATTATGTATAATACTTTTTAACATATTTTGTCAATGTTCTAGAGAATTGTATTCAGCACCATATATTTTAATTTATTTTAAATTTAATAGATTGTTTGGTCAGTATCCGGACATGTTATTTAAAAACTTTTATATATGCGCTCGTTAGCCATTTTCTTGGCACGCTCGCTTCGATCGCTAGACACGCTTATGGTTTTGATAACAGTTCTAACTCAATCTCACTAATTGATCTGTTCTTTAATATCTAGAAACATTACGAGAAATTATATTGCGCGGTAAAATTACCTAAAAGATAAATATTAATATAAACAAGTCCTGGCTAGTTCAATCAATAACAACGGAGATATCATAATATATTTCAGTATTGGTAGATTGACATTAATTCAATACTATGTCTCAATCAATCAATATACTATGTCTCAATTAATCAATGTGGAACAGCGCCCGTGTGTTTTTTTTATAATAATATTTTCATTCATTTAGTCTCAAATACTTTGACGGACGGTGATGCACGCGTAGCATGACAAACTCGAGAAACGCTTTGTCTACACTCATTTGTCAGTTTCTCGGGTAGAGAGTGAGATATAGTATGGGCGCACCCGAGAAAAGTGACATTTGAGTGTAGACAAAACGTTCTCGAGTTCGTCATGCTACGCGTGCAGGAAGTGTAAAATAATATTAACATTAGTTGGGCTCACATTTACATTTACCTATGACCCTTGCCTATTTTATTTTTTCCTAGTCACTACTACCATGTGATTTTTTTATATTCCAGCGGCACCAACAGATCTTCAGAGGATTGCTGGTGGTAGCACTGCAACCATCAATCAATATCCAGAAATAGTCGCTCTACTGTTCTCCAACACTAATAGCGGACACAGACAACTATGCGCTGGAACGATCATTAGCAGTAGATCCGTTCTCACTGTTGCTCACTGCACCTCGTATGTTAAATTTTGAATAATCTAACTTTATTGTAGATGAAGAATATGTTGACAAACTCATAAAAAAATATAAATAAAAGCTAAGTAATTTTATAGTTAGAAGTTTATAATATTTGTAAAAATATTTCTTTCGGATGTTTTGATGGATTGCCTGAACATTGATGAAAATACGCTCTGTAGTAGCGAAAGTAACTGTTAGGTCTTGGGTAGCTCAGTGGTTAGAGCAGTCGCCCAGATTGCGAAAGGTCGTTAGTTCGAATCCCGTCTGACAGTACCAGGGAAAAAATGTGGACTTTTTAAGCATTTTTAATTAACAACGATATATTTTTCAATAGCCTATTTTTGGAAAAAAAATCACGTTTTCTACAAAACGTGAGTGAAAACGGAACCTATTGATGTAATGGATCCGAAAAATGAGAAATCTATTTAAACTCAGAAATATAAGCGATAAAACTGTTTTATAAAGTTATTTTATTTAATGAATAATTATTGCGTGTAAATATAAGAAACAAGAATGTAATTATAGTTTTTGTATCAACAGTGGTTACGCACCAGGCAATTGGCGAATCCGTGCAGGATCTGTCAACGCCAACAGTGGTGGTATCGTCTTTGATTCCCTCTACATCATCAATCATTCACAATACAACCCCGCTACCATGGAAAATGATATCTCCATCATCCGTACCTCAATTACTTTTACTAACGTAATCCAACCTGCAACTCGTCCCTCGTCTGGATATGTGCTTGGAGATGATCAAGCGGTGTGGGCTGTTGGTTGGGGAGCTACTTCTGTAAGTGTTTATCCTTTTTTTGAGTTATTACAGTATCTTGACTTGAGTTTATGATCAAATTAATCTTTAGCTGTAATTCTTAAGAGTAGCTCGGTGGCGTAGCGGATAAGCGCCACGGCCCATACACGTTCCAAAAAAAAACTTGAAAAATCTTAAAAACATGATCCTTGTTGTTAAGCATCTTTCGCAAGAGTCAGTCACGGGACCAAAAGTTAATAGCTCGAGCTTTTCTGTGCATCGAAAGGCAGGCTTTAAACCGTTGATACCGGCTGCATTTGCATTTGTTAAAACTACTAATTTAAAAAGTCCTATATTAATATAACAGCATACAATCCTTGGAGTGGCAAATTGTTCTATTAATTTTTAAAATTTTTATGATATTTTGATGCGGGTATTCTATATTAATCGTTAAATTGAGGAAATCCAATCAATAGTAATTAATACGAATGTAAACAATCCTGCGACTCAAGTTTATGTTGTTTTGTGTAAGCAGGTTATGTTTTGTGCATTATTCGTAAACAATACTGCAACTCAAGTTAATGTTTGCCATATTTCAGGCTGGAGGTGCACTGTCTGCACGACTGAGACACGTGCAGGTATGGACTGTGAACAATGCTGAATGCAAAAGACGTTATACCAACTTACGTGATGTCACCGATAGTATGTTGTGCACCGGTTGGGACATGGGAGGTCGCGGTCAGTGCACTGGTGACGATGGTGGCCCGCTATATCACGGGACAACCGTTGTCGGCATCTCATCGTGGCGTTTTGGATGTGGACAGGGCTTTTACCCTAGTGTCAATACTCAAATTGTACCATTCCTTACTTGGATAACAAACAATGCATAATATTAAATAATATTATTTTTATAGATAGAAGCATAAATTACTGAAATATTTAGGAATTAAACACCTAATTGTATATTATAATATTAAACTCGAAACAAAATCATTAATATTAAGCAGCAAACGTTACAAAAACATAAACGCATATATTAATATAAATACAATAAATGTTCACATATCCCTTTGTTATTAAAAAGAAATATTGTTTTAGTAAATTATGGTTAGGATTTTTGTGAGACAATTGATAAGTAGACAAGCTCTTGAGGAAAAAGCACAGAAAAGAGCATTTTTTTGTATTAAAATACAAATAATTTAGGTTCGAGTGTTGTTCGATTGGAAAACGGAAGTAAGTTCCAAAAAAATACTTGAAAAATCTTAAATTTAAATCGTTTATTGTATAATATAAAGACTGCAAAAGTAAACATAAAATGTATACCAATGCATATAAATAATAAAACTATAAAATTGACTATTATTCATTTATTGTTTGAAACTTACATTTTTATTACTTACTACGAAATTTTGTAAATAAATAAATGTTACTGATATCGTTACTCTGTCCGTCTTTTTTTAATGCCTTTACTGGTGACAACTATTGAACCATGTAGAAGAACAAATGCTGCTTCACCTTTTATTATAGAAGTAATTATGAAGGGGTTAAAATTTACAATGGTGAATATATTTTAAAACGCGCAGAAGCGTCAGCTCCAACTAACGTTTAGAGAATTACATTTTACGGAACTTTTTTTATGAATTGTAGTCATTATAAAATTAAATGTGTATAGTAAATCAATCGCGTGCTGTTAGAAGATGATGTGAGAAGCCATAAAAACCGTCGAGTATGTATGAAAAGAATAATTAAAGTGTATGTATGTAAGGATCGAGCCTTGTAGCGTACGCTTGGTGTCAACCCCGCTGGGAGAACCAAACTATACATTGCTGAATTATATTTTACTAAACTATTGATCAATAAAAACACTGACAAAAACTGTAAAATTAATATACACTTGATTTTTGTAGCGTAACAAAACTTCTGAAATTATAATACAACTTTTTAATGTGTTTTTTTATTATATATATATATATATATATATAGACCAGACTACAATTCCTTTCATACCTACGTCATATCATCAATTTAGTAAAATGAAAACATGTATTTATTATAATTTTTTTCCAAATAATCAGGCTACGAACAAAATATTAAGACAATGCCGATATTAATTTTTAATAATCATGTGCTTTGTACAAACTGTTTCAATCAACGGCCCATATTTTGTTTATTACATTGTCTAATACGCAAATATACAATTCAATATATATTTCAATTTGGAGGTATTCAGGCATAGAGATTTAATAAATTAAACTACAAATCTGATACATATCTGGTAAACGAAATCTTGAGTAGAAATAATTCATCAACACTTTCGATGGGTAAATATCTACATAAAATTATAATTACTTATGATATCATAAAAAAAATACCCGAATATCTAAAGGACGAAATACCATATATTTGATTTATAAAAATGTGAAATACCATATACTCGATTTATAAATGCATATACAATATTTTAGTTTAGTTTTCAAAGCCATACAAACCATTTTCGGTGCGTATGTATGAAGAGCACCTACTCTTATAGTCTGGTCACGTGGCTACTTGAGCTTCTCGAATAGGTATCCAGGCTCCTTATATTTAATTAGGTCAAACAACAAACTAGTGAGACGCAAATACCTACGAAAGGACATTTTCAGGATATAATGTTTATTGAGGTACGGCGTAACGTGACTACGCGGAGGCACATCAAAACAGAAACGGCAGCAAGCATTTTGGACGCGTTGTAATTGTTTTTGAGGTCTAGATAGCAATCGCGGTCCGTACACGAGGTCACCATAATTTATGCGCCTACTACACGTGCATGCTTGACCACAGTTTTACTTGCGCATGCCGGCTTGTACACTGAACACTGTGCGTGTAGTTGGTAAAATGGTAGCATGCGCAAACCCCAAAGCCGGCTTGCGCAAGTAAAACTGTGGTCAAGCATGCACGTGTGGTAGGCGCCTTAGTCTCGATAACACCAGTAATTCAAATTGTGATACGAACTTGTATTAATAATAAATGACGATTTTTTTAACTATACAAGTTCGTATCACTCTTTCTTGATAAAACATATCACTTTAACTTTTGTGTTTTAGGTGGGGTATAATATTCCTGTAAAATAGAGCCAGAAATTTGCTCGCCACCAGGCACAAACTAATATATCATCGCTGTTATCTCCAATAACATAGGTTTTATTGACATTATTTTCAACGTAAGACATTTCAGACTGATCTAGTATAGTTTTAATGAAATGCCAACGATTACGACGATAAATAGCTCGTCTGTTCTTAATTAAATATAACCGCGGTGTAGGCGCCTTTACAACAACGGTGCCTCGAATTCTATCGTCATTGTTTTCTATCATATGACGCCATCCCCGACATTCAATTCAGTCAATGGTTTACAATGCTTATCGTAATAAAATTTACTTTTAATCTAATAATAATCTGTGTGTTTTTCATCTTTACAATTATATATCTTTATCAGGATGAACTTAATTACTTTGCGAATCATCTTAAGTTGTGCAGGAGGTGTAATTCTATAACTTAACAAATGTAAATACACATCCGATTTACTTTCAATAGATTTTTTCAAAATCATTCTGACAGTTTGTACCACCTTTTCACTGAGCATAATAAGGATAATAAGTAATGTAATGAAATCCCCATCCTGTGGCAAATATATTATAACTACGGCATGAATACTACGGCGCGTTATCGCTTACTACTACTTCTGGTCTACAGCAATTCAAAATTGCTGGTCTACAGCAATTTTGATTTCATGAACTTTATAATTAATTTTGCCGTAGAATCTTTTAAATTTTGATTTTTCTATAAATCCTAAAAAACAATCCACAAAAAATAAAAAAGTTTTCTTTCCATATTTGTATAAATCAGTATCAATTTTATTTAGTAAATCATATATTGAGATTGGTAACATTGGTTTTTTGTAGGTACATCTTTTTATATAAACCTCAATGTTCCCGGCCGGCCAGAATAAGGGCGCTTGTGCACTACACTGAATTTTCAGGTCCGGCGGTCTGATTTTTTCCGGTCCGATATGTCAGGCCATATATAGGTAATGCTAGCCTGTGCACTGTCAGGAATTTTACTTTTCTCTATTCCGGACCGGTTTTTTCAGGTCCGTGATGGCGGCAATGAAAAACGTGTTTACGCTTATGCACTGCTGTATCCGCGATCTTAAGGGCTAGATCAACCAATACAAATATTTTAACTTTTACCAATGTGATTGTGGAAGGTATGGACGCTCAACTGCAGACTGATGCCATCTTTACTGATTTCTCTAGGGCGTTTGATAAAATCAGCCACAAAATACTGTTATTTAAGTTGTCAAAGTATGGATTCTGTGGATCTCTTTTGCTTTGGCTGCAGTCATATCTGTTTAAACGTTCTCAGTATGTTGTTGGAAAAGGCTATAAATCTCATTCATATTTTACTACGTCAGGTATAGCTCAGGGTTCACACATTGGGCCGTTGCTCTTCAATATTTTCATAAATGACATTGTCGATGTAGTCAAGCACAGTGAAATATTTTTGTATGCGGATGACCTTAAACTGAGTAGGGCGATACGTTGTGTGGAGGATGCCAAGCTATTGCAATTGGACTTGGATGGGTTAATGGACTGGTGCAAATACAATAATATGTCTTTTAACATTAAGAAATGTTACCATATTAAACTGACCACAAAATCCAATATACTGGAAACAAGCTACAAAATAGATAATATAACTCTTGAGGAGGTAGATACTATTCGTGATTTAGGCGTTATAATAGATTCCAAACTAACGTTTATACCTCACATCAATGATATTGTTGCTAGGGCCTTCCTGTACAAGATTGTTAGAAGTATAGTGGATTGCCCTCAGCTTGTTGGGATCAACATTAGGGTCCCTCGCAGACCGCCGCGCTGTCCGGTACCAGTCTTTGGCAAGCCATTCGCCCGCACTAACGTATTGGCACATGCTGCGGTGTGTCGCTTGCCTGATGCTTACAATAAATTGCCGGGAGTTGTTGACATTTTTCATGATTCGTTTCATATGTTTCGAACGACGGTCTCGGAGTTGTTGAGAGACGCGTAGCCTGTTGTGTTTTTGGGGATATTTTTGCTACTGTTGGGTTTTGTGTTGTGAATTGTCGATTAATTAAATTTACTTCTGTACTGTATTTTTGAAAGCATGATGTGGCCGCCTTACCACCACCTCCTACCACCGAGCTACTCTGAACCGACCCTCAGACTCGCGTAATATTATATAAGTGTTGTGACCAATGAATAAACCATTGTTTCCAACGAAGATTGAAAATACCAACTTTGAAGTACGTATCTACAGCAATTTGTATTAAAAAAAAAACAAAAAGAGTATTAACATAAATAATAATAATAAGAGAAAAAAAATAACTCAAGTTGTCTTTACATTCTTAAGTTCAGTTGACGTGAATCTAACTTTTTTAACGTCGTGGTAAAACTTCTGACATTGTCTCTGTTATCTGGCAAGCAACAGGGGTGAGTAGGATTCTCCTCCGTGAATTCTACAGTGAGCTGCCGGGTGGGTCCCTAGAGGCCTACCCACTAAAACCCGCACTCTACACCCTCTCATAGGAGACGAAACCCGGCAAGCTATGGCCAAGTCACCAGGATACTCAAGTATTGGACCATTGGTCCCCTTGCAGATGAAATTGGAGAGGGTTGGGTAAATCGAGTGCCTCTCCCAGACAGACGAAACCGTGCAATGCGGGGGCGGCTGGCAACCACCTCCACTGGCCCCGACGACGACGTGAACCTAATCTGATAAAAATATGCGTTCACTGTAAACTACTCGAGGCTTAATTGCATCATCGGAAGGCTCTTTCCTCTTGTTCTCCTACTCGCGTGATCGTATACCACACATTCCATTATAAGCTGAAAGCTATTTAATATGATTTGCCATGTATAAATGAGGTCAACCTACTTCGGAACAGTAAAAATTTTGGATTCTTATTTTTTTATTTATCTTCATACAAATTACCATTTATAGACAATATTAATTCGTAGTTCGGTGGCGCTACGGATATGCGCCGCTACTCACGATCGCTATTGCTAAGCCAATTTTCGCAAGAGTTGTGTACGGGATGGGTAACCAAAAATTATTAAACAAAGGCCTGAGGCCCTGCAGTTTGGCGGTGAAAGAGTTAATAATGATGATCAATATATCAAAGACGAAAATTTAATAAAACAGTAAATATTTCATAGCAATTGTTACGGACGGCGGACATGAAGACCCTTCCCCGCAACCTCACCCCCGCAACGAGTGGAGGGGGCACACCACGGGCAGCAGCGACGGGAGCACCCCCCCGCGACCTCCCCGCCGCATAATGGAAGGGGCACCGACATAACATGAATCTATTAGGTCAATTAACGCGTTAGGATAGTAGCTAAGTGCGAACGAACAAATCCCACTT